CGTGCTCTCCTCCGCTCCTCCTCTCTGGAGACGCGGGCCTGCTGCACGCGAGCCACCTCCTGCGCCAGCTTCTCCTTCTCCTGCTCCAGGGCCTCCATCAGCTTGTGGTGTCTCAGCCCGCACTCTTCAAGCTCCTGCCAGACGCCAACCAACCAGAAGAATTCACGGGGGTCGGGCTCTCGCTTGCCAGCAGTTTCATTAGCAAAGCAATTCCACGATCTACAAGCGGGGAATGCTCCAAAATGGTGATGGCCACTGGGCACCACTCCAGTGGTGGTAGGACTGATACCCTTTTACCTCTAAAGCGCTTCTACAGACTTGGAAGGTGCCTGTCTGGCAAAACGGTAAGACCCAGGGTCATAAAGAGTTACGGACAAATTGGAAACAGGCAAGTCAGATCTTCCCATTTCAAGGTTAAGGATTTCTTTTTCCGTTAACTATAGATTTAAATTTTTTTTACAAAGCACTCAAGTCTTTACGGTGTTAAGAGCAAATAAAATACCTGTGTGGAAGGACCAGTTACGAGTGTCAGAGACTTTCTTTTCTTCTCTACCTCCTTCATCAGAATTTCCTGCTTCATATTTAGATCTTCTTCCTGGATATGGGGATTGGAAACCAGAATGTAAGACGTGTAACCTGGGGGACAGCTCTTCACATTTACAGCTTCATTTCTGCCTGCCTATCAACAGCAGAGTCCATTTTTAAACTGAGTGGATGATAAAGCATTCATTAGCAGTAGAATTAATTGATTTGTAACATTTTTTCCTTTGTCACATTGTTTTCCCATGCCTTGTCTAGAACACTTATTTTTTTGTATTTGTATTCTTGCAAACAGGCAATTATTCACACTATGAATACATTTGTTTTAAAAGAAAAGATATTTGAAAATCAGCACGCGGATCCCAGAGTGGTTCATTGTACATTAACACACACTAACTGCAGTATGTTCAGTTTTCTTGCCAATCGCTTTTCACTTGACAGAGGTACCCATACCATCTCGACAAACGGACAAGATGAAGGAGAACCTATTCAAGAGATGAATACGCTTGACATCAATTACAAAATCAGTCACAGCCTCTCACAAATTGTACTTCAATTAGAAGGAATTCGAAGGTTTGACTGTAGATGATGATTTTGTATTTTTATGAGATGACTAATTTATCAAAAACCTGGTTTTCAGGCTACAGGAAAAAACATTTAACGTGAAGAACTAAAAAACAGAAACTGCAGTATCTTTAATGAATTTCAAAAATCCTATATCAAATGCATTCTGAACATGCTGTATACTAACCATTTCTATTAACTCTCACTTTGATAATACCATTAGAACAGCGATAGCAACAACACAGTGATGGTCATTAGTAGCACAAGCCGTATTTATATCAGTATTATTTTGCATGATTTAAGATGCAATGGGTTGTGATAAAAACAGGGAATACTTGAATATATCTGGTTACACAGCAGCTCCTTAATGACAACACAGCCACGTAAACCCCAAGAGAAAGTAAAACATTAGAAATAGTTCTAAGTATTGTTTTAATATAGCATTGTATGTTGCAAAATATACATCTTTTGAGAAATGTTATGATTTCCCAGCTCTTTGGGGCGATAAATTAGACAATATTCAACCCTCTCTTTTCTTAAAACTCTTCACAAAATAACTGCCACCATAACATGGAGGATAAGTCACTCTGGATGAGACTGAGTTACACAAAAAGGCACACTTACGCAATATGTCTTGGGTACTGACACCATTTTGCACATTAATAAATCTTACTTTTATGAAGTATTATTATAGTATTAGTTTTATAGTATTATTTTACTATTTTATCTGTTAGACAATACTTTTTTTCTAACAAAGAATATATCAGATGCTCAATATAATGGAGGTATACAGAAAATGACAAGTAGTTTTTATTCTTTTCACCTTTATATCTCTGCAACTAATTGTCTATATTTGACTTACTTCAAGAAATAGTTTGGGAAAGTGTGGCAGAATTTCTTTGTTGAAACGTATCTATTAAATCTGAACTACCAATTATTTTCAGACTCCAGAAATCCTTCTGCCCTTCCCAGAGCTTCATTATGGCATTTAATACAACCAAGGTAGTGTGTTGCAAAACTGAAATGCTGCGTCGTGATGATTTGGCCAGGAATGTGCATAATTAATCACCGAGTTAACATGAGACAGTGCTGATTTCTAACAACTAATTAGTCAGCCCACCCCAATTTATGTTGATTGACATGCAAAGCTTAAATGGAAAGCACACACCTTTGACAGATTTTTCTGGCTGAAACCAGAAAATGTTTTTGTTTTTGGAAGTGGCATTAACGTACTTTTAATTTATTATTTTTTCCAGATGTTTTTTTATCTTGTCTGTAAGATAGTTATAACTCAATAGAAAGCACAACTTAGTACTAATTAAATCTATTTTTGTGAATTACACTATACCTAGATTTTATTGACAGTCTGAAGTTTCACATTTTCAGATACTGTGCTGTATTGTGACAAAAGTAACACTGAACATATTCAATTAAAACTCTAAAAGAACAAAGTACTATTGAGAAAAGGTTTTAGAATGACACTTATATCGAAACAAAGCACTAAAGGAGTGCCATTCTGAGTATTTATATAATGTAATAGGAACATATATGGAAACCTCATACAACAGAATGAGGTACAAACTGGATAATAATAATAATAATAATTGCTTACACTTACTGTATATAGCGCTTTTCTGGACACGCCACTCAAAGCGCTTTACAGGTAATGGGGATCCCCTCCACCACCACCAATGTGCAGGAATTCAAACAATTCCAAACTGTATTGTGATAGGAATAGCACTGAACAGAGCAAAACAAAAAAAAATAATAAAATAATAATCCAGAAAAAACAAGGTTCATTAGTATTATGTAAATCTTCCTCTAGCAAGAATTACACAAGATTCCTCCTGTAGGGAAAATGTATAAAATGGTATAAGAATCCTAAATCTTAGGATTAAATCAGAACTGTATTTTTTTTTTATTAATTTTGTTTCTTTGATTTAACAGGCAAACAGAATTTATGTGTTGGTGCCTCAGGAGGACCACATATTTACAAGTTCAATTTTTCCTAAGTATTTCCTGAGAAATATAGTATATGGTGAATTTCAATCTATAAATCTTATATACTGTACTTGTCGTCTTTGAAAATCAATCAAAGTTGATTGTTTTGACAAGTATGTAAATGTTAAATACATGCTAAGTGCCATCAAAAGACCTTCTGAATTATAGGTTCTTGCAATTAGATCAATTCACCATCTGGCAAGAAATGTAGGATAAATGAAAGTAATATTATTCAAATGTGGTTCGTTTTAGAAAAGCAAACCCTGAAGTAAGTCATTGTTTGAGAGTGGTAGATGGGAATAAGATTTCTAAAAAAATTTTAGAAAAGATTGTCCCATTAAGACATTTAATGAAATGTACCACAAGGAAAAAAGAAAAAAATACGGTACCGTATATAAGATGGGTGACACTTACAATCTAAGGGAAAAAAGAATCAAGTCATTAAGCACTTACACCTAAAAGCCAGGACTATTGGGAATAAAATGCAAGAGGAGGAAGTTACCACATAAGTGGGCGAGTATGATGAAACTGGCATCACAAAAACATGGGTAACGGAGAGCAGGAGTAAAAACAACACTGGTGGATATACTGTACAGTGTGCTGGAGAAAGGGGAAAGACTGAAGAAAGGCACTTTTATCACTATGCAATGAAAAAGAACATTCAGGCACACAGGAACGTAGCCTAGATTAATCAGAGGCCTGAGAAACTATGTTTATGGGTCTGACTAGGCTACAGTAAACTTAATCAGTGGTTACTTTTACTTTGATTTTTCAGTGAAATTCACATATAAGCATTGAATAATAATACAAGAATAATACAGTGTAGAAAGCTGATGACTCCTTTCTTGTTTGTCTGAGCACCTCCTAGAAGTGTATTGATCTACTTTTTAAAAACAAACAGATTCAGGAAGACGGAGGATGAGAGAACAGCCGCAGAAATGTGATCATCAGTATACTTTGCTTAAAAACCAAACACTTTTAACTCTCTTTTATTCTGTACAAGCATAGTTCAAAATAATTACAATTTCAAGACAGGAAGGAGTTGAGGAATTATTAAAGAATGAAATACATCTTATGTAAAAAAGATATGACAGACTTGGAATCAGTACAAAAGAGATGGAAACGGTTTAAAAACGAATCTAGTTGAAGCAAGGAACTGGTTCATGCCAAAAGTAAAACAAAGGATTTGTTTTATCCGTGGCTCAAATGTTTTAAGACATCAATTTAGAAAAATCTTAAAAAGTAGAAGTAAAAAATCATCTGACTCAAACTATTAATATTTAAAATCAATTCGCATTTTATATAATGATACATACTTATCCACTGTGTAATTTCTTTCTGTAAAGCACTTTGAGATGGAACTGAACATGAAAAGGCTCTAATGAAATGAAATATCAATTTCAGGAACCAAAGCATGTTCCTTTTCTCGAAAAGAGTAGAGGTGTAACCCCGGCGTCCTGGCCAAATTTCCCATTGGCCCTCACCACTCATGGCCTCCTAATAATCCCCATCTATGAACTGCCTACATTACTCTGCTCTCCTCCCCACTGATAGCTGATGTGTGATGGCGTTCTGGCGCACTATGGCTGCCGTCGCATCACCCAGGTGGGGCTGCACACCGGTGGTGGAGGGGAGTCTCCATTACCTGTAAAGCGCTTTGAGTGGAGTGTCCAGAAAAGCGCTATATAAGTGTAAGCAATTATTATTATTAAGTATTTGGATTTTTGGGTCCAGTATTCAGCAAACGAAGAACATTTAAGCCACAGGGATATGATAGATGACAGACACTAACCATCTCTCTCTGTAGCTCTCGGATGTGGTTCTCATACAGAAGCCTCTGGGCTGACAATTCCTGCTGGGCCAGCTCTCTGGCTGTCTGCAGCTCCTGCATCATGTCCAGCTGCGCCTGCTGCCTTGCTTCTTCAATTTCAGCTTCAATCCTTCAGGTGAAAGAAGCAGAGTTTGCGTGAGCAGAAGGGTTGCTCCGTTCCAATTTGAGGGTTCGAAAATCAGGGTCGGATCATTTAACTCTCAAATGCTCATCAGGTCTGGAAAGGAACATACTTTCCAAGGCTCAAGTCAAACTGGGTCGCGCTTTTTCTCACACCAAAAAAAATGGATGGAGAATGAAACAAATTAAAGTAAGAATTTGAAACAGACAGAAAATGTATCAGGGCACTCACATCAGGCCTTATGTTTTCAAACAAACTTCTGCAAAAGGCTGATATTTGTGGAAAATCAGTTGTCATAACAGTTAAGCCACTGCCCAGTATTTAAGAACCGGTGGAAACATCCATGCTTAAGCTTGCTGTTCACAAGGTTGGATGATTGTATTCAGTTTCTTCCTTTAACCTTCTCTAAAGGTATAAAAATAACTGTCATAGTGCTCAGCACTTTATCATCTTCTATGCGAGAAAGTTTTGAGATGTGACAATATGAAATCTTCAGTCTTTCATTTTTGGTAGGCTAAAAATTGTCGTTCAAGAGCTTTAATTGTTTTTATAAGTGGTAGAGTGGATAAAATATTCCTTATTTCAGACAAGTCCAATACCTCAGATGAGACTTCACTGCTGTTGCCGTGAATACTGAATACAGTTCAAGATGTAGAATTTTAAACCTATGCAAGTTAAATAGTTATTCCACCAGATCTCTGCTTTTCACCAGCCCTTCCCTGTACACAAAGGCTGGTACAGAATATCATTTTAGAACAAAGTTGTATTCTTTGTACTGCGTGCTTGCTCTCAAAGTGTACCATATTGTAATACTTTAGTGTATCTGTCCAGTATTGGTCATTACACCACTTTGTTTGGTATAACTGTATAACTTCTTGCACTGGACCCTTTTTTGTTTGACTACTCTACTTAGTATTGTATTATTTAACAATTACATCCATTATACACAAAACTAAACTAGCTCCAGATTAACTACGTCCTGTATTGCTTTGAAGAAATCCGCCAAATAAAATATTAAAATTCAAGTGGCAAAGACTTGCTGAAATTCTTTTGCACCTACAAATTAGGTAAAGCTTTAGGTTATTTCAGCAAACGCCTGTAAAAGGACAAAAATACAATGTTTAAGTGTGATTTACTACCATTTACACAAAACAAATATAACAAATATTAATTTCATGGTGCATTTTTGAATTCGTGATTAGTATTTTCAAAACAAAATGCCACTATTTAAAAAAAAATGCATCTTCAAATAGCTTAAAGAAAGGAGTAAATGACCTTTGTTTCTGGGCATTAAGTAGCTCATTCTTAGCAAATTCAAAATCCTTGAGCCCCTCTTGACAATCCCCTGGGTCTGCAGGCACACGGTATCCACTCTGAGCCTCCATGGGCTGGCTGAAGCGAAAATAGTGATCTCCACCAAGGACCACACGGTCCCCCTAAAAAAAAAAACACACCAGGGAAATTTACCTTTTCATTGTCATTTCTCAATATTACAAGTTTCAGTATTTCCCACGCTAAACAAATGTTAATTCTAGTTTAATTCTCACCTCTTCCACTGTCATTTGTTCATTTGATACTTAACCATTTGCTTTAATAATCTCACAAAATAGGGTAGCAGTATTCTGTATATAGCTTATGTCACATTCAGGTCAAAACTGACTAGACCTTTTTGTTACATACTGTAGGTATCTGCTATATATATGCATGGTGTGGAAACCATGCTCTCATGCCACAAAGTGCTGGTTTGAATCGTTAGTGACAACTGTTTACTGAAAACAGTTTTTTTTTTTATGGCATTCACACCTGGACACATACTGGTCTAACTCACACTGCGTATATATTTGTACATTCATGATACAGTTGTACTGATGGTTCAGTCAGACAGAATTGCTCACAACTGTTCAAAACGAGCCACTGGCACCTTGTCTGAAGAGAACAATGGTTTTATATGAAACTGCCCTGCTGTGCTTTTAAAAGTAGAGATAAATCAACAACATAACAGCAGCACAGTGAATCCAAAAGGCTCCAGACTGCATCCAGAAATGCACAAATAAAATTCAGCATGACCAGGTGTACAATATTATACCCATGTTACAAGAAAAAGTGCATTATAAATATCAGGTAAGAGAATGACACGTCAAGGCAAAGGAATTACAGTAGGTGATTACATCAGTACTAGATCAGAAACTTCATGGTTTAAGCAATCCAAGGAAGGGACAGTGAAAAGCAAAATAATTTCCGTAAATAATAACATTTATAATAATGTGCTGAGCTTTGGTCACAATCCTGCAATGTTCCGCTTTTTTGAATTAGCTAACACAAGATGCGAGCTCGTCTTAGACAAGAAAATCCAAATAATGTGGAAATAACTGTGGGTTTGAAGCAAACTACAAAACAAGGGTGTGGGAACTGATTTCCTTTATTCAGGAAAAAGTAGTCTAAGTTGGAAACAGTATCCAGCAACAAAACAAGCAAGCCAACTAGAACGGATTCTTCAGCAAAGTTTTGAAATATTTGCTTTATAAGAAAAACCACCAGAAATATTTTTAAAACGGAGAACTGCGGATTTCAAACCGCAGTTCGCAAAGTATAATGATTTCTCAGAAATAATACAAGCAAAAGGCTTAAAGAGCTGAACAAATTCCTTGCAAGGTTCAGAAACCGCTTCATAAAAAAATGAAAGGGTTAATGGGAAAAAAAAAGTTGAGTCAAAAGCTTGATATAATTAGATTAGATATAAATCTAATGAATTAAAACATCATTAGGAGAGACAGTACTGAAATGCGAAAAGGAAAATATCACCTTCATATTCTTTAATCCTCTCCTAATATACATGATATGACCCTTCCTTCAGTGAAGCTTCATGGGTCACTAATCCAATTAAAAAGGCTTAATAGAGAAAATAGTTTTTCACCATCAAGAACAGTGCTGGACGTACATGGTGCAGCGTGACCACCTTGGTCCGGAGGGCTCCATTAATGTAAGTCTTTGCCTCCGCAGCTGGGGTCAAAGTGACGATGCCCTGCTTATTTGTAAGAACGCTGCAAGTAAAAAGTAGATATCAAGTAAACACGAAGAATCAAAAATATTGATCTTTATTTCATTCAGCACTCGTAAGTTAATTTTGAATGCCATGCTTTGGAAGGATAATAACAAGTTACATATTATACAATATTGCAGCAGCTACTTTGTTAACAAGCTGAAACTTATATGGAATATAAGTAACCAAGTTCCTTTATTTCAAGGCCAGATACTGAACATCTACTGTAGCTGCAATTTTCACATGGAACCTTGTAGGCAGACAACTCTCAGATTTATTCAGTTAAAATCTCCATTTCGGATTAATATTTCTGGCTCTCGGCTAATTTGAAGAAAATTGCACAAGCAAGCAAAACTCTTCTGAAGACCTGCTTCCATTTTCCGTTTCCAGCAAACACTGTCTCTGGTGAGAGCTGAGGCAAGCAAACACAGAAGCATAGAGCTTGGGGTGGTATTGATAGGTCTCTCCCTGAACTGGACACAGGGTCATTGCAAAACAGACAATGGAAAATAGCCAATGAAGTGAGTCAATCGGGGACGAAACCAGAGCACCCAGTAAAAACAAAAACCCAAACAGAGGGCTGAGGGAACAGTTTCCACAGACTGGCTGCCAAGAACGGGATCAAACTCAATATGCTGTAGCAGAAAGAATACTTCCATTCTGCATCCACCCATCAACAGAACTCTTAGTGCAATGTTTTCAAAATATATGGACTAGCCTAGAACAAATTCTTTAACATCCATTACATCTATTAACTGCTATTGAAGTAGTCAGCCTACAAAATGAACTCTTTTCATATCCCTGTATGCTTCTCCAATGCTCTTTGTCTGAGCATCTATCCTTTATCTACCTTGACAGTATTCCATGTTCGAACGGCACATTTTTCTGTGTCACCTTTCTACTATTTTATTGTACCACAATGGAAGGAACTGTCTCAAAATGCCCAGGCCTTTATACTGATTTAAAAAGCTATAAAGACATTTCTTTTTACTTCTCTGGTATGTAGATGGCACCACCCATTGCTCTGAGAACAAAAAAAGGATTGCGTTCTGCATTCTCTTTACTCTTGATGGGTTTATCGTACATTATATGGCAATCACTAGTCATGCCATTAGTAAATTTGTAGCATAGTCCAAACTGTTAAGTTTGACAGTGATCATAGCAAGACATTCAATATCCCTTCCCTGTCTCAGCTGGCGAAGTGAAAATGGACAGAACTTGCCAGTGATGCTCTGCAATGAGCGCTCCTGTCAGCTGGATGTCATATGTGGAACCATTGGTGGGCCTTCCTACTTCCGTCTGACCTTCTTTAATTACGTACAGGAGCATCTCGGAGAGCTGGGGATCCTCATTCAGGTTCACAAGATAGGGTAGCCTGTGGTCCGCCTTAAAAGATACTCCTGACTTCTACAATACCAGAAAGATACAGGAAAAGACCAAAAAGGTAAGAACAGAATAACAGCGATTAGAATGTTTTTAAACTGCCCACATCAATTCTACTGCCCAGTGCACAAGTCCTTTGAAGGAATTAAAATGTTAAGAGGAAAAACAGCAACCAGGCTATTGTAGATGATGACTTTACAGCGCAATATTCATAATATTCAACAGAATTGCAACATTTACCTCCAAGGAAAAGCAGTGATCATCAAGTACAGGACTTACTGCATGTACCATTCCCTGCTCAAAACAGGCTTTCCAGATTAAATGAATGAAAGGTCTACATACTCTACTAATTAAATGTGCAAATAATGTACTGGCACATTAAAAAGCAAGGAACATTAACTCAGTATACAAACTGGATTTATCAAGTTTTCTACACGTTCTTTGGCACAAAAATCATGTGTTGTAGCCCAGGAAAAGGTTATTGACTAGAAGATGAACCACTATAACAATGAGTAGTGATTATTTAAACTAAAACTACTGTGCATTTCTGTCTACTATTTTTTTAAAATTCAAACACACATATTCATTAATAACCAACCTTAAGCTCTTGGGCTTCTTTGATTTTGCTCTGCTCAGCCAGAGCTATCTTCTCTTTCCATTCCCTAAAAAATTGCATTTAGTTGCAATTACTGAAAAAAGATACTATAAAAGTCTACTCAACAGAGTCTGAAATCTCCTCACATTAAGCCAATTAACTATTCAAATATATACATTTGTCATTGTTTAGTATTACTGGTATAGAATTATACTTCCAGGTAAAATCATTTTACTAAGCACTTATGTCACTCGTCACGATAATTTCATTTAATGTCTCCAGACTACAGAATAACCTAAAGAGGATATTTGCAAGGAAAAATGAGAAGATATTCCTGTTTCTTTAGTCTACAGTACATGTTTTTTAATGTTTAATAAATATTATTTTTATGTCCTCAACAAGCATCAATACAATTGCAAAAAAAAAACATATGAAAGAGCCGTGCCACTGTATGTTTAACCTGGAAAAGGTTAAATTCCTTATTTAAAAAGGTATTTACTCCTGAGCCTTTTTAAACTCTCTCTCCTGCTCCAAGAGCTTTTCTTTAAGTGCCAAGATCTCCTGAAGGCTAGCTTCATAGTTCAGTACATCCAGTCCTTGTCTACACTGGCCAGCAGCTCGCAGCTTCTCAATTTCTGCTTTAAGCTCTGAAAAACAACAACATCCCAAATTACAAATAGCTTTTAAGCTGGTTACTTTAATATTTTCTCATCACCAGATGTGTTTAACCTTAGGTTACAAAACACCCCCCCGAATGAAGAAATAACATTAACATCTTAGTTCTAACCAGAACTCATTTCTGTCGGGCTTCCTGACTGCATCTGTGTATTTTTTTAATAAAGCCGTAAAAGCACATGAGTGTGTTCTACCACTACTGCAAATGTACGCAGGAGTGCAAGTATAGTTGACGGCCTAGGATGTGGCCTTTACAATTGAATTGCACCCAAATAAAAAATAAAAAAAATACATGAGACCACTTAAAAATAGACCAGAAGTGTGAACGCTACCAATGTATTTCTGTTAATCCCCACCGTTTTGATCTTATTCCCTGTTGAATCTGCTATTCTACATCTGGAGGGCTCTCCGCGCCCCTCACCCCTGATGATTCTGGCACCGGTGTCCTCATTGACCCTTGCCACGTTGATGATCTTGCGCGCCTGCGTGGCGTAGCGCAGAGTGCTCAGGGTCTCCTCTACGCTGAGCGCGGCTGGGCTCAGTGCTGCGATCATCGCCGTCTTGGAGTTCCCTCCAAGGCTCTCCTTCAACAGCCTGTGGTAGAAGACGATTTCCTCAACCCTGGCGTAACTGGAAACGCACGTCCTGAAGGGACACAAGTCTAAGATTCTCCTACGTGTACAATCTTTAAATTTGGGATGAAGGTAGAGGAAACAATTTGACTTTCAAAAACGAAAGAGTACTTACTGACCCTGTTTGCTTCTGTATACTGATATAAGAGGAAAGGTTTCATCACTGAATGTGGATTCATTCAAATATTTACTGTACTTGCCGGTTAAAAGGCCAATTTCAATGGAAGAACTCAACGCTTGTGTAAGACGACTCTAGAAGTAGTGTGCTTACAACACAGTGAAAAGAAACTGTGACACTTTAACCATTAAAGTCTGGACAGTGGAAACCATTCAGCATAGATGTGGTCCATCTTTTACTTCACACCATGCAAGATGACAGCAAAATACCTACCAGGTTAACACTGAGTCTCTGTATGGAATAAATTGCTTCTTCTTGGACAGCGGGGCTTCAGAAAGAGCACTGATTACCTTCCCCAAGGTCATCAAGGATGTGTTAATACTTGCTCCTTCCTGGATGAGATGAATGTGTTGGTGACACGGCTCCATTGCTTACTAAACTTACTAGACCAAATTTTGATCTCTCCCTAATTCGAAACGCCCAAAGCAGATCACATTTGTTTCTCACGCCGGATTCAGTGGGAGACCGACTGATTGAGAGAGATGCCACTTCTCTTGAAACACCAGGAGGAGAGAGTCCTGACCTTGAGTCTTGTGCCACTGGTGTGCGCAGATGTGGATCGCTCACTTCCTGCCAGATCCACCAGATTAACGCGACTCCTCGTGGTGTGATCATGGGTATCGCCCTCCACATCCTCTCTCTAAGAGGAAAAAATCCAGGTTTTCAGGTTTTACAACACAAGTGTATACAGTATATACACACTGTTGAGCAGGACAGCCATACAGGTGGTATTTTTCTCCTGTGTTAGCCATGTTCTTCCTACTTTGCTCCATTCAGACCCGTTTTGACACAGGACAAAAACTCTTAAAACCAAAAATCACTTCAAAGGTCAGAACCTCATGCACAGATATCATTAACACCATTCGGAATTTCTACACAGAAGTAAAAACCTGTCTTGATTAGCTTGGGTCGTAAGTTAGAAATACAGATAACCAAACTACAGTATATTGAATTTCAGACGTAACCCATCTTAAGCAAGTTGAAAAGCTAATCAGCCACAAGGCTGACTTCTGTGAAGTCTGATCTCCCGATACTCATTCAGGGCTGGTGCAACAGAGCTCTACCTTAGTCTGCGTCACTAGCATGGTGAAGACGGAGTGGGACCTGGAGCTCTTGTCATTCATACCGGTGGCTGCTGTTGCCCGCCGTTTGTTTCCCAACTCCAGCCAGACCTAAAACCAGACACGTGCAAATACAGACAGTCAAGATCAGGTGGGCACAGACTTGAGACAATCCCAGATTCTAAAAATGATAAAGAAACAAGAGAAAATGTCAATAGAGAAAACCACCAAATAAACCGTCAGTCCAGGTTCAATCACTGGTCCCCAACGAAAGATCTAACAGCAAAATCTCGATATTAAACTGCTCTTTTATAAATTGCACATGTTATACACCTACAATTGAGCAGTGGTTCACATATAACAGAGGGTTAATAATAGATGCAGTCCAGTTGCAATCTGAAATTTGACAAAAGAGAAAAAAGAAGTTCAATTAAAGTGCATGCCAACACTGAAGTTTGAAGTGTCCAGTTTTAATGCCAGAACAACACAAAGAGGATATTCACAAGGGAAAACACTCCTATTTCTTAAGTGGAAAAACCTTCACAAACAGTGAAGTCTCATTTCTGTACACCGAGATCTTGAGTAGTGAAATACCGTACTGTAAATACACAACACCTTTCTGCAGTCTGCAGAGCTTACAGTAAACTTCATTTGTCAGCCTTTTCACTGTATTTTTTACCTGCCTACATACCCAAACTATCGAAACGTACAGCTGAGATAATAACCAAATAAAAGAATTGGAAAATTGAGACATCAGCTAGTAAAAAAAGCATTTCATATTCCCATTTTCAGAATAAAAACCCTGCCGTTATTCAATATGGCGACCAAAATGTATACAAACTCTCCACCACATATCCTCAAACATAGTGCAGTCCCACAAGTAACTAAGCAAATATCAATAATTTGCTTTCCACAGAAGACCGTTCACTGCATTTTTTTGTGTGAAGTTCAGCACCGCCATTAAATTTCAGCTCCACTCCATGGACCTAGATTCACTCCAAAACTAATGAAGCTTGAGAAGGACGTTTGGCTTAGAAAGCAGGTTCTGCAAAACAAAAAAAAACAGATTGAAAGAGGGTCTGACATACCTGCACATCTGCGAAGGAGCTTACCACATACCTGTGAGAACAGCCAAAAAAGCAGAGTTACCTCAAGGTACAGAAAATAAAAACTAAAAGACATCTGCTACAATGTTGTTAATCAAGGAGGAGATCTATTTATTGTGCCCTCCAGCAAAGAGATTGCTGGCTCTGCTCCCAGAGTACCTGAACACCAACTGCAGCACTTTCTGAGTGTCAATCAAATCTTTGCATCAGAAATTGTGCTCAGGGGATCCTGAGCTATGAGTTTATCAGGCACAGAGAGACATAAAAAAGGGACCGCATCTGTTGTGCGTTCTGTTAAATTAAATTAAAATGAATGTTTACAATTAGCATTAAAACATTTACTTATGACTGAGATGTAAATGTGTGCGTCTCTGTGAGTGAAGGGGGTGGTGGGGATTCCTCTCTCCTAGAGGCCTGCAGGATTATAATTAAATTTCTTATGTTATGCTGCAAGTCAAGATGATGGGGGTCTGTGCTTATCTTAATTTGAGTAGAGCACCGCTTTCATCTACAAAATACAAAGAAACAGACAATTTTCCACATTGACCACCAACCAACAAAAAAACCCTCACGTAGATCATGACAAACAAGAGCTTTCAGCAACACCATTAACACTTTTACATTTGCCAAATATTCAGATCAAATGAATACGGATGGAATCACCAACAGACATTTCTCA